TGAGAATATGACCGGGTACCCGGTTGTACTCACCCCTAATCACTACATAATTTTCCTTACAATCACACCATCACTACATAATTTTCCTAACAACCACACTATCTCCTCCTTCCCTATTTTCACTTTTATTTTGCTTAGTTTGACTTTTATTACCCTACTGATACATCTCCCCTAATCCAAGCATGCCCTTAGAGTAAATTCACCACAACACTCCAAACCTTCAACTCTCAATTCTCATGCATTCTCTATCCCTTTTTTTTTTAATTTTTTTTTGAAAACTACTAACAAATAACTGCTACAATTCCAAATTAACATGAAAAAATAATCCATAACTTCCTTTCCCAAAAAAAAATAAAACCCATAACTTCCTTTCCAAAAAATATATATATATATATATATATATATAAGTTCCTTTTACACTATTAATATCCCGTGCATTAGCACAGGTACAATCTAGTAACTTAAATCAAAGAGGTCATTTTCCGTGGCCTTTTTTTAGGATAATTTGTAAATTACCACCCACAAAATAGACCAATTTTGATATAACCACCCAAAAAATATTTTATTTTAAATTACCACCAATTAAATTGAAAAAACGCGCAGATTACCACCCATTTAGAATTTCCGATGGAATTTCCGTCAGTGGGCCCCACTTTTTAAATTTTTTTTCCCTTTTTTTCTTCTATTTTCTGGCTTTCTCACTCTCTCTCCCCGATTTTTTCACTCTTCTTCTTCCTACCTTCTTCCTTTCTTCTTCCCAACCACCACCACCACCATTGCTCCACCTTTCCCCTCCTCTTCCCCTGTCGCGCCTGCCAACAACAACCCGCAACAACAACATCAACAAACAGCCACCAGTTCAGCCACCATAATTACCACCAGTTCGCCTACCGCAAACAGCAATTCGGCAACCTCTGCAGTCCGCAATCACCAATTGGCCTACTGCAAACAGCAATTCGGCAGCCAATTACTACAATTCTGGGATTTAATTGCAGCAATTTGGCAAAGAACATCTTCAATCTTGAACCCCAACAAAGAACATCTTCAATCTTGAACCCCAATTGAAACCCAGATGGTCCGACCACCGCCTTCAACTTCACTGCCCTCCACACACATCTCACCGCCCTCAACAAACCCCACCGAAAGAATAAGGGTCGATTTAGGGTTCATGCTTCAATTGAATTGGGGGTTTTCTTAAAATAGGGTTCCTATTTTAAGAAAACCCCCAATTCAATTGAAGAAAACTCCCAATTCAAATTTTCTCTTTGTTGGTTATTTTTTCTCTTCCAAATTATCCCCAAATCCCCTTTCTTGTTCCTTGTTTGGATGAATTTATACCCGGCAAGAGATTAATTTTTCTGGGTAACTTGAATTTTTGATTGATTGATTAATCATGGCATCTTTTCGGTGGCGAACGAAAGGGGAGGAGAGCAATTATGGGGGGCTGGCGAAGGGGTTAAGCAGTTTTCGGTGGTGGTGCTGTGGTTAACGGTTGCCAGAGATGGTGTGAAAGGTGGAGCAATGGTGGTGGTGGTGGTTGGGAAGAAGAAAGAAAGAAGGTAGGAAGAAGAAGAGTGAAACAATCGGGGAGAGTGAGTGAGAAAGCCAAAAAATAGAAGAAAAAAAAGGAGAAAAAAAAAAAAGTGGGGCCCACTTACGGAAATTCCACCGGAAATTCTAAATGGGTGGTCTGCGCGTTTTTTTAATTTAATGGGTGGTAATTTAAAATAAAATATTTTTTGGGTGGTTATATCAAAATTAGTCTATTTTTTGGGTGGTAATTTACAAATTATACTTTTTTTTAAATGGACTAGTTTTTAATCATTTCAAGCAATTCAACTATTAAGTTTAATTTTTTTATTAGTAACATCAATAAATTATATTTGAAAATTAATATAAGATCCCCTCATGTTATGAAAATTTATATTTTGTAGACAACATAACGATGCCCTTGTAGGACTAAGCATTTTCTACATCCTGATGTTGTAACCTACTTGGGTACCTCGTCTACTAAACTTCCCTATATTTTATCTTAACCAAATCGATATTATATAACTTCCTTTCCTTTCCTTTCCCAAAAAAAAAAAAAAAAAAAAAAAAAAAATCTATAAATTCCTCTTACATTATTAGTATCCTGTATTAGCACGGATACAATCTAGTTACTTAAATCAAAGAGGTCATTTTCCATGGCATTTTTTTTTTTAAAATGGACCAGTTTTTAGTCATTTCAAGCAATTCAACTATTAAGTTTAATTTTTTTTTTATTAATAACATCAATAAATTATATTTGAAAATTAATGTAAGATCCCCTCATGTTATGAAAATTTGTATTTTGTAGACAACATAACGATGCCCTTGTAGGACTAAGCATTTTCTACATCCTGATGTTGTAACCTACTTGGGGACCTCATCTACTAAACTTCCCTATATTTTATCTTAACCAAATCGATATTATATAAGCTTTTCTCCATCCTTCATAGTTTTTGCAACTAAATACCAAATAATATGTATTGTGTGATACTTTCTAATGCTAATTGCACAACACATTCAAAAGAGTCTCAATTCTAATTGTGTCAAATTTCACTTATTGTGTCAAAAGAGTCGATCCCATTTCATGAAATATTATTGCATTGATTTTGAATGTGTTGTGCAATTAGCATGAAATGGGATTGACCCTTTTTATTGTGTCATAAGAAAAAGCGAAAATAAGTGAAAATTGTGTCATAAGAGATAAAATAAATTTAGTTAAGTTAAGAAAATTTTGATATACTTCCTCCATTCTAGTAATATTGCAACAACTGAAAACACTATTCATCACGCTTGTTTGACCACATATTATGATTTATATGTAAAGTTAAATATAGTCATATGGGATCTTGTTAGATTCGTCTCGTAAAATACTTTCACAATATCAATTTTTTTATAATTTTTACTCTTATGTAATTATACATATTTAGCATATAAAATGTGCTTTAGGGTGCGTAATTTCATCCTCGTTGCAATATTTGTGAAAAAAAGGAAGTAAGAGATAAGATAAATTTAATTAAATTGTGTCATACTTATTTCACTTGTTTATTTTTGACACATTTAACTTATTTCAAATTTAATAAGTTTAGATAAGTTTAAAAAAGATAAATTCATGAAAAAAAATCTAATAATTAAGGGTTTGTTTGACATTATTTTTTGTTTTCAGTTTTCTATTTTTTTTAAAACCAAAAATTGGAAATAAGAAAAAGGTGTTTCCACTTTTTTGTTGTCAGTTTTCTAAATTATCAGGATTTTAATAAGCTTGACTAATTTTTTTATTCATTATACGACATATATCATATGATTTTGAAAATCAAAAAACCAAAAAATAGAAAACCACAACAATGCCAAACGAACCCTAAGAGTTTACTCAAGTTCAAATTACAACTAGGTTTTTTTTAAAAAAAAGTTCAAATTACAACTAAAATAAGTTTTAATAATGTCTAATAAGTCAAGGTTAGTCTAGACATCTTTAGATAAAATATGATAAATTCAAGTACGTTAAAATCAAGTGAATAGAACAAACCCTTATTTGAATTCACCTAAACTTATGAGAACTTACTTTAGTTGTAATTTGAAACTGAGTAAAACTTATTTCATCTAAACTGAAACAAGCAAAAATAAGGTGAGTAGAATGGAACCTTCCATTAGGGGAAAAAAAAAAAAAGTGAGCAGGATAGAACCTAAATTGATGACTTTCTTATCTTAATTTGTGATAATTGTTAGGCTTTGTTTGGTTCAATATTAGTAAAGGAAAAGAAGAGAAAGGAAGGGAAGGGAAAAGAAAGGAAAAGAAGTGAAAGAAAGGTGATTTTATTTTCCAATATTTGGTTAATGAAAGGAAATGAATGGAACAGAAAGGAAATTCATAATTTATAACTATTATTTTTCTCTTTCCAGTCGAATTCCTCCAATTTTGGGAGGAAATAAAAGCTAAAAATTTGTAAAGGGACTTTCCTTCTACTTCCCTTCATTTCCTTTGGATTTTTATGTAATTTATTCAACCAAACATGGGAATATGATAAAATTCATTTCCTTTATTTTCTTTTCCATCCAAATCCCTTCATCCAAAAAGACCCTTACAATGTGTTTGGATAGATTAGGAGGGGAGAAAAGAATGGGAGGAAGGAGAAGGGGTGGGAAGGGAAGGGGAGGGAGGAGAAGAGGTGGGAAGGGAAGGGGAGGGGAGGGGAGGGAAGAATGAAGAGTTTTCCATCCAAATCTTTCCATTAGAGAGATCAATTTCTTGCAATTTGATCCTTCCATCTCTTTTCCATTCAATTCTCTTCCTTCCTCATTTATTATCCAAATGAGAGATTATCTATCCCTCAACTTCTCTTCCCTTTCTTTCCCTCCATTTCCTTCACTCCAAACAAAGTGTTAATGCGGTGATTTTAATTTTATACTCGTCTTATAGATAGTAGATACTAATTTTATTTTTAAGATTTTTTAAAAATAAAATTATTTTTAAGAGGGAGTTAAAAGTGAAATCAAATTAATTTGAGAAAATGAGAGAGAGGTATAACTTAAGTGGTTAGAGCTTTCCTTCTAATTCTAGAAAATAATGGGATCGATTCTCATCACCTTCCCTTGTAACTCTCTAAGCACCAAAATTAATTTGAGAAAATTATTGAAATTAAAATACGGAGTACATACTAGTATTATATATTCATTCCATAAAAAAAAAAAGTACGGAGTATCCTACATTCATACTCGTACAATATTCATACAATTTATGTAATTATTTTACCAACAATTTGATGAAAAACGTGTGGCTAGGATTGTGTTGCAGTCTTTACAGAGATACAAAAAGCTTCAATAAAAATAAAATAAAAATGTCGACGGATTATTATTTAAGCATGGGTCTGACCAATCACAAACGAATATTCGAAGAAAGCGCCCACATTCAATCAACCAATTATAATTCAACTTCATAAATTATTCATTTACTCCGTATTCGTATTTTTTTATATTTAAATTCTCCATCTTCCTCATTTAGACGCCCCCAAAAAGAAAACGTCCTGCCTGTTTGTTAATAGTTGACCTCTCCGTCCTCCGATTTTCTCTCTCTAACCTTTGTTGTTTCTCTCTCTTAAACTCAACAATGGGTGGCGGCTTCCGATGGGTCAGACCCGAGGTTCTCTCTCTTCCTTCTCTCTCCTCTTTTTTTTTTTTTTTTTTTTTTCTATTTTTTTCTACGATTTTTTTGATGGAAGATTCAGTATTTTTAGATCTGTGAAAAATTTGCTATTATTAGCATGAAATTCGTATGATTTTGGATGATATTCAATCAGATCTAATGGAGTAAAATAGATTTGATTAGAAAATAAATTATATTTTTTTGTTTTTTATACGGAGTAATAAAAATTGTGAAATGGGTTTTGTAGGTTTACCCTCTGTTTGCATCGGTTGGTCTAGCCGTCGGAATTTGCGGGTTTCAGCTCGTCCGGAATATTTGCGGAAACCCTGAAGTCAGGTATATCTTTCTCTCTCTAATTCATTTTCTTGATTTTCTTTTTAAATTCTAAATAGAATTAAATAAATTATTAACATAAAGCGGGATTCATAATATTATTAGGTTTAATTTATCTTAATTGATTTCATTAGGTTGTTTTGATGTGTTACTATTAATATTAATTGATTTCCATTTCATGTATTATAGTAGCAGTATTGAATTAGGTTTTAAATTTGAGTAAATAAGCAAAAAAGAAGGGATTTTGAGCTGTGTAATGTTGGAATGTAAAATATGGTGGTTTATCTCGGACTTGTCGATCAATTGTGTGAAAATATAGGGGATTATATAGAAGCTCGGCCGAATGGTTTGAAATGGGATTTCTTTAGGCATGTGTGAATGTTTTGACATGAAAATTTTCAGTTGATTATGTTGCCCTGCTCGTGAACAGAGCAATGTTAACTTTCTGGTTTTTCATTCCTCAAGTGCATGTTGTTTTTTTCATTTGAGCCATGCCTTAAATATGTGGGCGTATGGGCGATTAGTTACTTCCTAATTAGCATATCATCAATCCTTCTATTGTGCCCATGTTTCTAAAATTAGCTTGTGCTCTTAGTTATTGCAATTAGTCACAAATTGAGTGGAAAGAGGCCCTATGAATGTAAGCATGTCGGCTAACATGTTGTGAGTAACACATATTTCAGTTTAGAAGTTAGAACTTGAAAGTCTTTCCCCAAGTGTGAGAGTACCTGCAGCTGATGGAACCCTAGTTGTTTTTCTTTGTGTATTTTCTATGAATAACCTGTACCTGAGAATATTTGACCCTCATCTTCATTTTGGCTCAACCAACATCTTTTTGAAAGGACTATTTGGACTTAGACACAGGACATTTTGTTTGAACTGAGTCTAATGCTGGGGACAGTGTTCCTCCTACTTCCTTGCATTTATCATTTTTAAGATTCTACGCCAACATACACTCTGGCTTCTAGTTGATTAACATTACTCTTCGATCAAGATTCATGACAGTTTTGTTAGCGAAAGCAGAGTAAAATTTATACTAGATACAATTTAATGATAATTAAGTTAATGAATAATGCACTTGATGATTAGAGCCCCATTATAGGCCAAAAATAAAATATGGTGGATTCTCTCAACCTAGAGTATAATATCCTTGAGGAAGCAATTAGAATCACATGTATATTGCTTCCAGCATTTGATAGAAGTCAGAGAACTATAGAAGTGGTGTGGCAAAAGTAAAGTGAAGGGAGTACAAACTGTGTTTTTCTATAGTATCCCAGGAATCAAAGTCTAACCCTTAATAAAATATTGTGATACTCACTTGGAGTAGAGTAACAGGAAAAAAGTTGAACTCCATTATGTCTGTATTGCTTCTGTGGATGCATAATATGTAATTTACTGGGAATAGCTCAAGTTCTTACAAAAGCACATGTTTAAACAACTACTCAAAAGGAAAGGAGAGAAGGGATGAAAAGTGTTTCTTTTTTATAAAAAATCTTTCCTTGGATTTTGGAATGATTTGTGTTTATCAAGGAGAAATAATAGTGGAAACCTCTAACTGTGCCTTCTCTATTCCATATTCCACATTCAATTTAGGATAAAAAGAACCCGTACTCTCCCTCAGGCCCTCTCCTCTTTTAATCCATGGTTGGCTCTATTCTGCAAAGTGAAGATTTGTTTATTATCCAGTTAATTTCTTTTGTGCCGTTTTAGTTTCTTCATATCACAGTAAATATATTGTGTTCTTGATAATTTACAACTGTGTTGCTTAACTTTTCCTAAAAAATTTACAGGGTGACTAAGGAAAACCGAGCTGCTGGAATCCTGGAGAATTTTGCGGAAGGAGAGAAATATGCAGAGCATCCCCTTAGGAAGTTTGTACGCACCAAGAGCCCTGAAATTATGCCAGGTCTTAACAGTTTCTTCAGCGATCCACAGTGAAGCTCCCTAAGGAATTGCAGTATTGCACTGTGTTGGCCCTATGATATGGTGGATTTTACTGAAGTTGCTTCCTTATTATTCCATTGATAATGAAATTGATGATGTTATATAATGTTTGAACAAAGATGGCATTGTGTTACTTGGTCTACCCTCTATTTTTTTGAAGTCCTTGAGATATTGAAACTGGTTTAACCCATTCAAGGGAGACCTTGTATTATAAAAAGCCTATAACACCTTATTGCTAGCTGAATAGTCCTTTCAAGTTTCGTCTTTGTTTCCGTTTATTTTAAGTTATGCAAGTTCAGTGAAGTCCAATAAATGGAGTTATGGTGTTACTATCCTTAGTTTGTATCACTTCGTAGAACCAAGGAAGAATGTCAGTACTGCATATGCAATGGTTATTACCAGTTATCAGGGTTGTGCAGCCACCAGATACTGGGATAGAACTGATAACAATTCTGCTATTGTATCTGTCTCTATTTGCATGAGCACTTGAATATCAACTTTTTAATCAAACAGGACTCAGAAGTGTATATTTGTTGATAGTATTATCAATATTACCAAGCAGCTAATTTCTGCTAAGGGAAGAATGCATTAAGGAATGTTTGCAACAAGATTGTGCTTGTAAGGTTGTACCCTAAGAAGCAACATGAACCTAATTTAACCATCTTTTGCATTGCATGAGCTATGTTACGATTTATTTCCACCCCACTTCACATGATTAACTCAAAAGAGCACATCCAACCTTTTGGGTCTATTTTGCACAATTGCACTTGCTACCTCACCAAAACTCCTAATATGAGTAATTATTATTTGCAACCTCACCAAAACTCCTAATATGAGTAATTATTATTTTTAATATACAACAATAAAAAAAAATAAATAAAAAAAGCTTTTACAATTTAATCTCATTCTATTAAATTATTTTAGATAATTTCAACAAATTAATCTCATAAATTTCACAAAAATTATGTTTTTTAATCATATACTACCCCAAATGATCTAAATGATTTGGGATCGGCTGATATAAATCGTGATAAAAACCATCTGAAAAAATAAATAAAAGCAAAGTATACGAAAATCATTAAATTAAGACTAAACTCATTTTATTATTGTAGGCAACCATGAGAAGCAATTACAGTGTAATTAAGTCTTGTAAAATCATTTACCGTAGCACAGTAAAATCAGTTATCGGCTTTGTCTGTCTTCCTTTCTCCCTACCTTGTCCATTATTAAGGGAATTGCTGCAAATGTCAATTGGGAGACTAAGGTTTATTGAACCCCCAAATTTTATTTTATTTTTTTTCTTTGATCTGCACTTTGTTCACTACTTTAATCGCAGTTGCTATCATCGAGGCTTGTTACCAGGTCCTTTTCCCTCTCCCTCGATTTTATTTTTCATTGTATTCGTTCAATTTTCTTACTCCATGCTTTCAATTATGAATTGATTGTTACTAGTCTTGATATTTTAGGGTTTGATTTTGATGTTGGATGTTTAAGCCATTTGTTGATGATCATCTAATTATCACTTTTATATACAATCTTATGCGTGTGAATTTGGTATTTCATATGATAGTTTTATTTCCAGGTTTTATATGAATTTGAAATTAAGTGAGCAGGGTTTATCTGTTATTTGTGAATATGTAGTTGGATTTTCTTGAATTGAAATGGGTTTTAATTATCTATTTTCTGTTTAGTATATCATATGAAGCTGTTCTAAATTAAGGATTGGATTTTTCCATGCTCAAATTGCCTCTTTGGGTTTGCTTTAAATATTGGTTTGGCTACAAAACTTGTTGATCTTTATGTAATTGCAATTGCAATGCCCTGGTTTATGCCCACCACCTGTTCGAAAAAATGCCCAAAAGTATTTTGTTTCTATGGAACATTATGATACATGGGTATGCGTGGGATGGGCCAAGCAAATCCTTACTAAACCAATTTATGCCAAATTTCTGCCCATCATTATTCTGCACATTTCAATTAATTTAAGCTGCTTGATTAGGCAAGTGTTTTGGTTTACTTACAATTTATTCCTCACGCTATACACTTAAAGCAAGGGTGAAGCCAGCGGGGGACATTACTGAACTCTGAAAATGAAGAAAAGAAAACTGAACTCTGAAAAGTGAAACCTAACTTTCCTCTCACCTCGATGTTCGAAAATCCTCTGCCAGTCCGCCGCTCTCGCTCGTCGGCTCCACTCCCGGCACTCCGTCTCTCCGTCCGTCGATTCGCCGCCGTCGCTGCTTCGTGATTCACTGCTTCGTCCGTTCGTCGGCTCGTCGCTGGACTCGCTGCTCTCCATTCGACTTCGCTCACTTCGCTAAATTGCTAGACCCAATTCACGGTATTTAAATCTGAATTTAATCTCTGAATTATTTACTTGTTTAATTGTTTTATAGTTTATACTTTTATTCAATTATTCTGGGTGTTGAAGATTTGAAGTATTGAACTATTGAAATTTTGAAATGTGTTGGTTTATTGTCTTATTGAAATCTCTGAATATTGAAATCTGTTGGTTAATTGGTTTATTACTTGTTTTTTTCTTTTGTTTTTGTGAATTTATTGAAATAATGAAATGTATAGTTAATTTTGTGAACTTTTGATTGCATTATTTTCTCCTTTTTTTTGAATTTATTGAAATGTATAGTTGAATTAGAAATTTAGAATTTTAGGTTTTATTATTATGTAATGATGTGGTATTGTGGATTGTGGAAATTGATATATATTTTTCAATTTAATTAGGAAATGTCAAATGATTCACCTAATTCAAACAAGTCCAAGGCAACTACTAAACAACCCGATCTTCGACAATTCTTGTTAAAAAGACCGAAACTCAATGAAAATGAGTCAAATTTTAATATTAGGATTAATCAATTTGTGTGTTTGAGTTTTTTTTTTTGTTTTTTTTTTGTTTTTGTTTTGTTAAGCTTTTTGTCAAGTTAAAGCTTTTTGTCCCCCAAGTTGAAAATCTTGGCTCCGCCACTGACTTAAAGGTACTCGATCGTTACCAAAGATGTAAATAATATTTGGTTTATTTGAAGGGAAGGAATATGGATCCCTCCCCTTCCCTCTACCCCAAGTCATATCCCCCTTCTCTCTCACTTTCTGTCCTTTTCATTCCCTTCTTATCATTCTCACACTGTTATAGACTAGTTGTAGAACAACTTGCAGAGATTTTTGATAGTTTTCTTATATTTTCTCTTATTCTTGCTCAGTGACAATATGACCAGCTATCTATGGAAGAAGTATGCAGATTATGTGTACACCAAATGGGAAAGAACAATTTTGTGGGATATGATTGAACCTTACAGACGGCCTAAATCATTTACGCCTCTTGTCACTCTTTATGTTGCTGCTTTCTACACTGGAGTTATTGGAGCAGCAATCACGGAGCAACTCTATAAAGTAAGTTACTTGATCTTCTATGGACACCCCCCCCCTCCAACCAAAAAAAAAAAAACCATAGTCCTACATTTTCTGGATATTTTCATGTATAAGAATTTAAGGCAACCATTATGTGCGGTGAAATCGTTCATGGGATTATCTTGGTTTTATTCTATGCTTGCTTCCTTATGACTGATTTAGAATTTAAGTGAATATATATATTTTTTTTGATAAAAGTGAATTATGTCCCACTTAGATCAAGAATTGCCATTTAGGCCACCTACTCCCACAATTTCAAGGAATTCTTCAGTCCTTTTGAACTTCTTGACACGAACAGATTTGGGCTCCTATCACTTGCTGTTATATGATCTTTTGTCGATAATGCAATATTGATTTGACTTTTTATCTGGCTCCTAGTGAAAGCAGTGCAATTTTACTGTGAGCATAAGGAATGTAGTTTTCAATGTGGCTATAAGACACAGCTTTTATAGTGCACAAATAAATGCTCAGATTTTTTTTTTTTTTCTCTCAATATATCTAAGATAATTATGAAGGACTTTCCTGTTAGTTTATCCATTATTCCATATTCTAAGTAAGTTAACACTAAGAGATTGCCCATGTTTAAGATAGATTCCTAAAAGCTTTGTACAGCTGAGTGTGAACAGCCTAGGCTAGCAAATCTTCTCAGGAATAATTTGGTATTTAGGGGAAAATAGAGTGTTTTTAGCCGGGTGACATTTAGTTATTATTGAAGAGTGAAGTGTAATCACACAAGTCTTTTTACTGTCCGCCCTTGTATTAGAATATCACTAATGGACATTGAAGAGCTCCCCGGCCCTGAATTCTGATCACCATTTCGGTAACTAACCCTTTTTAGAATTTGGTGTGAACTTTGTCTATGAAAACAGAAAACCTTTTTGGGTTGTGTACTGGTTTCTTGCTATAAGGTTGGAAAATATGGTTGGCAATTTGGCATTTGGGGAAACCTGATTTATTAAATTGTGTGCTACTGTACTGCATAGCTTTTGTTATGCTATTGAAAGTTTTATGTTATGCTCATTACTAGTTACAACTGAGCTTTTTATCTGATAAGTAGTAAGTGACTAGCCCCTTGGCCTGTGCTCTATGAGGCAGTGGAGTCAGGCCCAAGGCTTTCTCGGTTCTTAACATTCATTGCTGACTTCAAGCAGGAAAAATATTGGGAAGACCATCCAGGAGAGACAGTACCTCTGATGAAACCTATGTTTTATGGTGGTCCATGGAAGGTATACAGAGGGGAGGTTCCAGTCTACCCCAGTGACAAACCCAAGTAAAATGAGAACGAAAGTTGAGATATCATAACTCTATATTCTTGGAGCAAGATTACATGCCTGAGCTTAACTTTTACCTTCTCAACCCTCCTCAGTTTTCTTTTATCTTTGTGTTTTACAAAGTAGCCTTAGATGGGTGACAGCATCTTCGAGGTATCTATATTGTTGTACATAAAAAGGTACGAAGTACCATATCTACAATGTGTGATCACTCTTTTTGGAATGAATTTCATATATTTGATGTGCATCAAATAATTACAAGTATTCAATTTTTGGAGTTATACATAAAAACAAACATCTCATAAAAGCTTATAACGATGTGACGATAAATGATGTTTAACGATCATATGTTATCTCAAGCCTATTATACAAATGCATAATTGATCACTCGTTTTTCCTGTGCGCTCATGATATGCTTGCTTAAATAAAATCAAAACGAAATACTAACTGAAAAATAAGTACAAACTGACAACTACATATATTCTTTTCGTATCTTTCTTGCAAATAATGCTTCATTGCTTCAGGTGTGCAATATGAAAATATTTTGTCTAATTCAATCACTCTTCTTCCATCCCCTCTTTTTTCTTAGGAGGATCTAATTTTAATATATTAGGGTTATCATTTATATTTCTCTTCAACACAGTAAAGTACATCTTCTCGTCAATTCCATCCCAATGAAGTCCAATTTTATCTCCTAGTTTAAGTCCTCTTCGGTTGACAACTTTGCTTTTGTAATTTCCAATGAGCACACAACTTCCACTTGACCATATTTTTAAAGTCATCTTAAATTCATATTTATCATCCCAATCAATGAAATCAATTTGATAACCATCTTTCTTGCTTTCCTCTTGAATTCTGGTGCTGAAGTTTTTATACACCCATTTCTTGTAGAGTAAAAGTCGATCTTGATTATCAATGTCACTTGGTGTTAGGATTTTCGTAAAGCTCCATTAGGATGTGGCTTCGAATATATTGGGAATACTATTATTTTGAGCAGACGAACTAATGGAAGTAATTCTAGTGGTGGTGTTAGTAGAAAGAGAAAGAGAGAGGATAAGATGATCAACTTCCTCTTCCCCTGTATTTTCCTTCAACGAAGATAAATCGACATATTTTTCACCATTAACCTCACATTTTTGGTCTAAAAGAGTAGATTTTATGGTATTTTCCGTTTCCATAAAGTCATAGAAGGTGTAATTGTTTATCAAATGTTGAACCCTTTGTGTCTCCATGATTGATTCATCAGAATTTCCCTCAAAGTTTGAACTTTCTCCAATGTTGTTACTCTCTGTTTCTTTGCTTTTTTTCATGATCAAGAATAAAAACAATTTTCTCGAAGGTTTTGATGAAATTATGAAGAAGCTAAAGTGCTAAACTATAGAAAAAAGAAGAGTTTGAATTGATGTACTGTAATTCGAAAGATAGGAGAATTATATTTATAATAATGGTGTAATTTCCTTGAAGAAATTATAATTCTAATAGGATTTGGAAATCTATCCTTTTATATATAATGGAGAAATTATCATTTTACTAGGATTTGAAAATCTATCCTTGATCCTCGTCTTTTTTAGAAAGAAGAAGGTTTTTTTTTTAACCATATTAAAATAAGAGTAATGTTATATGTTGCCTAAGGATTACAAATAAACATTGAATATCTTTCCTTTTGGTATTATTCAGGAATGCATGACAAAATCACGCACAAATCAGTGTAATTAATGATTTAATGATCATATTTCACAAATATTTTCTTTTTTCAGCTTCTTAATACTTAGATTTTAAGGCTATGTATAGCATTATCCTTATAATAATTTGTTGACATTCTATAGTACGGAGTACCAAAATAGTTATTTGACATTTAGTACAAAGTACGGGTACTATTAATTGATCAGCAGGTCTTGTACGGACACGGTCTACAATAAATTCTCTAATGGTGGGTGGAGGGTACTAGGCTATGTGGGTGGAGGGTGGGCGGTGGTGGTGCAATGGTGGTGTGGAGGTGGTTCTAGGTTTTAATTAGTTAATTAAGGTTTAAAAGTAACTAATTACAAATTAGCCGGATAATGATGTCATTAAGAGCTTAAATCACCTAATTATGGGCTGATTAGGGAAAAGGGTAGCAATCACTTGAATTAATCGGTTTTAGAGGTAGTAATTAAAAACTTTTTTTTAGGGGTAGTAATTCATAAAGCCTCTGTTTTTGAGGTAGTAATTAACAAATTTTCCCTCAAATAATATAGTCACATTCTGGATGATATAATTACTTTTTTAGATGATATAATTATTTTTTTGTGAGTCATATTTTAAATGATATAATTGTATTTTAAACAATTTATCTTTTAGATGATATAATTATTTTTAGAATGATTTTATTACTGTTTGATACTTTTTTTTAATGATATACATTTACATAATAAGTTTCTGGATGATATAATCACTTTTATAATGATATAATAAATGGTTGGGTGCACAATAAGTTATTGTGCACCAGGTCTATTCTAGAATTTGCCTTAATCGAAACGTAATTTTGTAGTTAATTGTTTTTTATGGAATATTATATATTTATGTCAATAGTCACTAAATGCTTTGCATTCCGTACTACGGAGTAATTATCTGCGAGTACGTTACATCCTTAATGAAGTGTTTATAATTACTGTCCTTATTAACTCGAATTAAAAGTGATAAACGTACTACGGAGTATATTAAGGGAGATTAAATTGAAGTAAGCGATCAAAATACTTTATTTAATGCGGTTATTTATTTGCTGATAACTACACAGGGAGAATTAATCAAAAGTGGTCACTCTGATCATAATTATATGCTAATGATCTGTTGCTAATTTTCCTAAGGTATTCCGAACGATCCATGCTAATGTAAGATCGTTTATACACCTTGCTGACTTTCTTGGAGGAAGATTGTTTCAGCAAGACAAAGAATTAGAATCAAAACATTATAAATTTCACCCATAATACAACAATTAACTCATGAGAAAAAAAGAAAGAGCCTAATACAAAGAGCAATTTTGCACTTGCACCAAGCTTACGAAAAATGGCTCATGAAACAGAAGATCTAACCACTTTTCTTATCAAATCGGGCCGTGGAGTGAAAGGTTTATCGGAGATGGAATTGAAGGATTTGCCAAAGGAGTACCTACAACCTCAATCAGAGAGGCCGTCCAACATGAAGATCATGGAAGAGGCATCGATCCCCATAATTGATGTGTCTAATTGGGATGACCAAGCAGTTTTAAAATCACTATGTGATGCTGCTCAGAAGTGGGGATTCTTTCAGATCATCAACCATGGGGTGCCACTTGAAGTGCTTGAGAATGTGAAACGAGCAACCCTCGCGCTCTTTGCTATGGCACCAGAGGACAAGAGGAATTATTTCAAGGAGAATTCACCTAGCAATCATGTGAGGTTAAGTACTAGCTTTATACCCGAGGTTGAGAATGCCTTAGAATGGAAGGATTACCTTAGTCTCTTTTATGTCTCTGATGACGAGGCTTTTGCTTTATGGCCTACTATTTGCAGGTAATTAACCGTTAAGCTGCACTATGCAATCACTAATTATATCATTGTTTTGTCATGAGAATGCTAAATACATCAAAATAATTATCTGTATTACCATTGATGTTCAGGGACCAACTTCTGGACTACATGAACAAGTGCCAAGTTGTGATTAAGTCCCTCCTGCAAGTCCTGTTGAAAGGACTCAACATTCAAGAGATCAATGAGGAAAACTGGTCTCTTCTTTCGGGTTCCAAAAGGATTAATCTCAACTTCTACCCAAAGTGTCCGAAACCTGAACTGACAGTAGGAGTAGGGAGGCACTCAGACGTGTCCACCTTTACCATCCTCCTGCAGGATGATATTGGTGGACTCTATGTTCGAGCACCTGATGGAGAAAGTTGGGTCCATGTGCCACCTATCCCCGGGGCGTTGGTGATTAACATAGGTGATGCGCTGCAAATCATGAGCAATGGCAAGTACAAGAGCATAGAACACCGTGTAATAGCAAATGGAAGTAAAGACAGGATTTCAATTCCCCTGTTTGTGAACCCAAAGCCTAGCAAGATGATCGGACCTCTAAAGGAAGTTTTGGTCGAGAGTGATGAGGAACCCAAGTACAAGGAGGTGTTGTATTCTGATTATACCTTGTACTTCTACAGGAAGGCTCATGATGGTAAGGGAACCCTTGAATTTGTTAAGATATGATCTTTCTAGAGATGAGAAAGGTAATGATTCGAAACTGATAGAATGAATATGTAATAAAACAATAATTTACGTTCACTACAGATGCTTGTATATAGTAATAATAAGAAAGTAAAATGAAGATATTGATGTTGGATGTAGACAGATCATGTTTCAAATTGTCATCCCACTTAGCTTACAGATGATGTGTTTGCAGTATAATAATAAATGTAAGTGTCATATACGAGTACCAATAGTATATCAAGCAACATAAACATCTTCCCATTTTTTTTTCTTTATAAAATTTCAAAACTTCATTCCATTTTATACAAACTTGCAAAAGATAACATAGGGTAAGTAGACATTTCTGTAGTTGTAAACCAGAAATCTTCTAATATACTTTCTAACTATCCCAATAGTTTCTTAGTTGTGACATGTGGAGTAGAAGTTGGTCTCGGCCTAGACCAGTGACACTGCTAGTCATGATCCATGGGGGATGTTGTTTGTAATTCTGTCTGATTAACTCATGGAAACTTCTGATGTTATCCTCAGGCCGTACGCCTTTTCTGCCTTTCATCTTATCACACTTGGTGAACACAAAGGTGATAGGTATCTGAAAAGCGTAAACCAAAGCAGCAAGAGACGGAAAATCAGTAGCACATTTAAATCACATTCAAAAATGTTAAATGAATTAACGATAGTATAGTGTTCAAAAATTGGATACATTGTTGCGCCCAAGCCAATTAGCACAATCCACATCTATCTTCTGTGGGGGAACACTTGCATCAACTAGGAGTAACACAGAAACGAGTGCATCTCTATTCAAGAAGTAGCCTTTAGTGAATGCAGACCAATCTGTTCGAGCAGATTCAGACGCTTTGGCAAACCTATGTAAGAAAATCAGGCATAAAAAAGTGATCTTTCAAATGTTGCACTATTGAAGCAGATTTCAAGATCATCATATGCATAATTGCTATCCACCATTGCTATCCAAGGTTAAATATGACTCAATTAAGGGCGATTAATTTCCACAATGACATGTAAGGAGACATTTACTTCCTAAACTTGAAAATAAACAACACGATTGGAGACCAAATTAACTACAACGGATGTAGCCTAAATACATACAACATGTTTTACAGGATGATCAATAATTTTGAAGCAATGCCTCAAGGCGTAAAAGCAATCCTTTTTTGGCACTTCAATATCATTCAAGCAGATGATCAGGTATAAACACGAATAACAATTGATGCACAATACAAGTATACAATATTCCCAGCATGAAATAGACTCAAGAATTACAGAAATTGCCCAAATTAAAACCAAAATTACAGAGACTCACCCATATCCAGGCAAATCAACAATATACCAACTCTTGTTGATCAGAAAATGATTGATAAGCTGAGTCTTCCCTGCATATAAATTCAACATCCTAATCAAACACAAAGTTAACAAAACAAATGAAATCACAAGTATGAATCATACGCAAATAACCCCAACAGCGAATTACCCCTAAAAATCCAATCCCAGTTTCTTTTAAATCATATCAAACTAATCACACTTCAGAAACACTTCAATTGTATTTTTCATTGAGGAATTTAAACAAACAGATGGTGGGCATAAAAGAAAACAAACAAATTAACAAAACCTGGTTTTTTAGAAGTCAAAGCAACCTCTTTCTTCTTAACAAGAGTATTAATAAGCGAAGATTTCCCAACATTAGATCGACCAAGAACAGCAAACTCAGGCAACCCATCAACGGGGCAATCCTTAGCCCGACTACTACTCTTTACAAACGCAACTTCCTTAATCTGGGCATGACCCGCATAAGGTCCGACAACAATGTTGGACCCGGGTAAGATCATATCTTCGGTTATGTCATTCGGGTCGACTCCCGGCGGGACAAAGAGCACAGTGCTGGTGAATTTGGTGGCGTCCGAAGGCGGTGGAGGAGCTGCGGAGCTTGATAATGCATGTCGATGGAAAATGGGGATGGTGGAGGAGAGAGAAAATGAGGATTGCAGAGGAAAGGAGAGAGAAAAATTGAGGGGTTTTGAAGGGTTGGAAATGGTGGGTAGTAGAGAAGATGATAGTTGAGGGATGAAGAGACGAGTTCTTAGTAGCAGCATTTTCTTTACCCGCCAATTTTACAAGTTTTTCATCTTCTCCCAATTGCTCTATATACCACACTAGCTACTAGCTAGCATACTATTCTACTTATAAAAAAATATTATATGAATACTTATTATGTGCACCTCACGCCTATAATATGAACAGTTAGTAAAAAGATATGAACACTTTATAAAAAAAATGAACATTTAGTCAAAAAAATATGAACACTTCATAAAAAATGAACAAAAATATCCAATTTTATATGTTCGTATTTTATAAAGAAATGTTCATTTTATTTGCACTAAATATTCAGTTTATATTACAAAAGTATTGAATTATCCAGAGTCAGACAAAATTCTTCATAAAATTGATGTTCATTATAATATAGTGTTGTGTTCATATATTTAAAATTTCAATGTTCATTTTCAAATAATAAATGTCCAAATTCGAGTAGTGTCATGTTCATATTTATTGATCCTCATTATAAAATAGTGTAACGATTATATTTAAAAATTTCAATGTTTATTTTCAAAAATTATATGTTCAAATTCTGATAATGTCATGTTCATATTTCTATATTTGTTTTCAGAAACTATCGTTTAAAACGTTAATTATATAATTATTAACGAAAAATAGATCATATTAATTCATTATAAATTCTTTTATATTCATTATAATGTACTAAATGTTCATTTTATGTATCAAATCCCAACTCAGGTTCATAATTCTTTAACCCAAACTAACTTATGTTCATATATTGACCTAACTCAAATGTTCAAAATAAACATATACATGTTCAAATATAACATTATATGTTCATAATTACAAAATTTAAAAAGGTTTTTAAAATACATAAATCGAAAACAAAATAAATTTTCATATGCAAAGAATCAAATGTTTAGATATATAAATTATAAAGTAGAGAATGCCAAAATTTTTAATATGTTTTAAAATACATAGATCTAAACAAAACAAAAAAAAGTTCATAAGTAATGTATCACATGTTCATAATTCTAATAAAGATGTTCATAATTCCAAAGATATATATATTTATAGGATACGTATCATAGGTTCATATTTTTAACTTAAAATGTTCAAAATACCAAAATATAATCAAATACAAAACTGTTCATAACAAAATACATAAATATCACTAACAAAAAAATCAAAAGAATATGAAAGCTACATATTTCGAAACTCAAACCTAGCCATGGTGATTTAGATAATGAAATATCATCAAAAAATAATCATCTTCGTCATCTTAACCACCTTCTCCTCGTCGAAGCCGCCATTTTCAGCTTCATTTCATTGTAGAAACTCCATTAATAAAACTTCAAATCGAAGGTTGAAGAAAACAGAATTTGAATTTAATTTATGGTGATGAAGGAATTCAATCTATGGTGATCGGCAATGGTGATGAAGGTATTCAATTAAAAGGATGATGAACGAATTCAAAAGACAGAAAAATAAAATAGAGGAGAGAGAAAATAGAGGAGTGTAGACGTCATTCGAAACGCGCCTACTTTAAGCATTTGATAAATATGTTTGGCACTCATAAGAAGTAGGGATTGACATATACGATTAGAGACAACGATTAGGGACAAGGAAAGTAGGGAGCAGACAACAAGTTTTTAAGGAACTTGTAAACCGTTCACGGATCATTTAAGGCCACATTAAGGGACAACGATAGGCAACAACAATTGACCCGTGAAGGTTACACCCCATTCATAATCCATGATATTACTAACTCCATATGGTTCGGCACCATGAAAGGAGGATCGGGGATGATGGTACGAAGTGAGTCATGGAGTTACATTCGCCCGTATTGGCCTCTACTCGATTCTTTTTGTGAAAAGTGATTCCTGCGATCTCAAAGGCATGCAAACAAAGATTCAATTTGCTCCAAACTAATATTAAGCTAAATTGGTTTATTGTTATTGCAACATATAATTCTATAATATCGTGATCACTTTAATTAACAACAAAATTAAAAGGGGACCTAAACCGGTCGTCCAAATTATCTTATTAATCGTGATATTCACTTACATATTCCCATTAAACATGCAATATGGTGATCAAAAATATGATAAAAATCAACATCAACATTGGAAGCAATTTAACAATACTATCCAACCATCAATATATGACAAACATAAGAAAAATCGTTAGAAATATAATAGGAACAAAAGGAACATGATTCCTTACTTTGATTTTGCTTGCTTGCAATTATAAAATAATAAACGCGTTAGTAACTTCAAGGAAAATTAAGAAACAATAATGTAATTTAAATTAAACTAAACTAGAGTTGATTTGGGGCCAAACCCTCAAATAGTTCTACCTTTCACGCCTTGATTTAAGTGTAGAACTACGGGTAAAGTATGGACTCCGGGGAGTGCTTAAGGGAAGTATTGTGAGAGAAAAGGGTAGACTAGTGTTTAGGCTAAAGAGAGAGAAGAGAATGATTGTTGGTGTAGGCAGAAAGACACTACTAGAAAACAGCCAATCAACGACGGAAAAAATCCCTCGGAAAGCACCGTCGCATTACACACTACAAGAAAAAGGCCAGATTCCGACGGACGTTTTCTAACGGACCCAAAATTCCGTCGGAAATCCTGTATATTCCGGCGGACTTATATTCCGTCGGAAATTTCCGACGGATTTCCTATGGAATAAAAATCCGTCTGAAATTATGGGCTTTCCGACGGAATATTTCGTCGGAAAATTTATATTCCGACGGAACATTAAGTTTCCGACGGAATATTCCGTCAAAAACTTATTTAAAAAAAAAAATTTAACAACTAAACCCTAAAAGTACAGCCTTCCATTTCCGCCACTTCCCCTTTCTCCTTCTCTCTCCTCTCCTCTTCTCTTCTCTTTCCTCTTCCTCTGAATTCCTCTTCTCTTCTCTCCCCCTTCTCTCTCTTCCGCCTTCTCTTTCTCTCTCTTATCCTTCCTTCTCCTCCCTTTTCCTCTTTTCTCGTATCTTCTCCTTCTCATGTCTCCTCTCCCTCGTCTCCTTGCGCAACCGGACCACCACCATCGCCGAATCGTAACCGCCTCTACTAGCCACCACGGGGTGTGTTTTGTTTATTTTTAAGGTTTTTTAGGCCAAATTCGACCATTAAAAGCCTAGATCTAGACTTTTCATGGCCGAATTTGGCCTTGTTAAACCGTTTTCGTCGATTTCATGGCCGAATAAGGTATGTTTTATTATTTTTTTTTGTCGATTTCGGTTTTTTTTTCTTTGTTTTTTTTTTTAGATTTTTGGGTGTAACGTTGTTGTGTGTGCGTGTGTGATGTGTGGGTGGCGATTTATGAAGGTGGTGGGTGTTTTTGGTGGTTTCGTGAGTTTGGGTGGTAGATCTGGGTGGTTTAAGGTTTTTTGGGTAGTTTCGGTTTTTTTTGGATGATTTCGGGTTTGGATGGGTGGATTAAGTGTGGGTGTGGGCCGGTGGTCCGGTTTAGGGGCAGGGGGTAGGGGGGCAGTGTTGGTTGTGGGTGGGTAGAGGGGTAGTCAGTGGGGGCAGGGGGTGGGGTGGGGTGGGCTGGTGGTGGCGTGGGAGGGTAGTCAGGGGGGAAGGGGGTGTGGGTGTGGGGGTGGGGGGTGGTCTGGGCAGGGTGGGGTGGGGGCTAGTTTTTTATTTTTTTTTTAATTGACTTTTTCGACGGAAATTTCCGTCAGAATATTCCTCTTCTGACGAAAAATTCCGTTGGAAACCAATCCACCTCCGACGGAAATTTCCGTCGGAAACTTGCAACGGAATTTCAATTAAAGTCAAAATCGGCACCGACAGAATTAGATCCGTAGGAAATTCCGTCGAAATCACCTCTTCCGACGGAATTTCCGCCGGAAAAGGCCGAATTTCCGACAAAGGGTATTGCGACAGACTACTTTCGACGGAAGGCTTGATTCCGACGGAATTTCCTATGTTTCCGACGGGAAAATTCCGTCGGAATCCAGCTGTTTTCTTGTAGTGACACTTTGTAGGAAATTCGCGATATTCCGTCGGAAAAGTCCATTCCGACGGAATTTCCGACGGATTTTGTTCTGTTGGAGTCAAGTTTGACTTAATTGGAAAGTCCGTCGCAAGGTTCCGACGGAACATTTTCCGTCGATATGAGTAACTTTCCGACGGAATATTCCGTCGGAAAAACTATACTTCCAACGGAATTTCCGTCGGAAATTTTAATAAAAAAAATATAAAAAAAAAACAGTAACCCACCCCACCACCATACCAACCACCCCACCCCACCACCGTAACCCCATTAGCCACCCCCTTTCCCACCTCCACCCCACCACCGTAACCAATCACCCCACCCCACCCCACCACCGTAACCCCATTAGCCACCCCCTGACCCACCCCACCACCGTAACCAACCACCCCACCCCACCACACCACCGTAACCCCCCTAACCCACCCCACCACCGCCTAACCACAACCTAAACACCCACGCCTAACCACCAAGCCTAACCCGGTTTACCCCACCATAACCCACCAACCCGAACCCACCTCACCACCCACCAAAAAAACCCCTAACCCGTGAAAAAAAAATAAACAAAATTCATAACATAAAATAAAAACAGAAATTAAAAATTAAATAAATAGATCTAAATTCAACACAATTCGAAATCAACAAAAATATACATTGAAATTTAACAATTCGAAATTTAGCAAAAATTTAACTTAAATATACAATTATTCCAAAAACAAAATGTTATACATTGAAAATTTGAACAAAATAAAACTAGATCTAATTCTAACCAAAATTAAATGTAGATCTGTTTTGGTGTTGGTGTTGTCGGAGGTTGTTGCGGTGGTGGTGTTCTTTCGCGGCCTTGATGTAGCCGGTGGTTGTTGCGGTGGTGTTTTTCTTGGCGGTTGTTGCAGACGATGGTTGTTGCAGTGGTGGTGGTATTTTGTGACTTCCGTGTTTTAAGATTTAGGAGGGATGAGAAGAAGAAGAAGAAGAAGAAGAAGAAGAAGAAGAAGAAGAAGAAGAAGAAGAAGAAGAAGAAGAAGAACAGGGAAATTAAAGGGAAAGAAGAAGAACAGGCGAGGAGGTGAGGGAAAGAAAGAGAAAGA